TATGTTATTAAAAAGTTACAACCACGATATTTGTAGTGACTGCAATTCCATTTGTTATGTTCTCAATGACGATAAACACAACATAATCGAAGACACAAATATGAACTATAATTTAAATTTTTTATTAGGGCCTTATTTTTTATTAGCTCGAGGGCCACCGAAATCTCAAAAATAGACATGTTGATATTCACGGTACTCGAACCTAAAACCTCAAAAAATAATAATAATTCTTTTACCACCAAAATCGTTTGCTTCAACTAAAATGATACACCATATAGATTTCTTTATAATATGCGTTTTTTTAAGAATGAGACACATGCTCTAACTTGATTTGATCCTATTGAATCAGACTTTTAATAAAAAGAAAATTGAGCTAAAGTTTGGATTAGGGTTAAGTTTTTTAGAATATAAGTATATGTCGGATTCATGTTTAGAATACAAAATGTTCAACACGGCCTAAATAATAATATAATTATACCATATATATTTAAATATAATTATAATAATACCCCCTTTATATTAATATTCTTTTAAAAAGTAATTTCATTTTTAGAATATGTTTTGGTATGTGCATTATAAAACCAAATCATAATAGAGAATGTCAAATGCCACAAAATTGACTCAATAAGCTAAACGGCTAAAACTTCTAGCTCATTAGGTCAACCTAGATTTTATTTTAAAATCTATTTTAAATGTTATAGGGTAGGACAAACTCATCAGGTCTATATAACAATTTTGTCCAAATATTTTTTTTAAAATTTATCACATCAACATGATAAGTTCTAATCGCCGTAGTAAATGCCGAATTAATTTTAAAAATAGTTTAATAATCTAATTATTTTACTCGCTTGAGCCAATTTTACCCGCTAGAGGCAGCTTAGAGAACAAAACGGATCTAAATCAGCATTAGCAATGTCCAGAAAAAGAGTTGGTAATGGCAATCACAACAAAATGGTTGAAGTTTTAAAAGGAGATCCGATCCAACTTCCCAAGTTATTGCATACCAGAACGACATAAAGAGACAACAGACAAAAATGATCCTACAGAAGATGCTAACCTACTAAAATAACATCAGTTGGCAATCTGCTTAACAATGAATTCTATAATTATTAAAATTTAAAGCAGAACAGAGCAATTTTGTAAATCAAAACGAGAAATCTATTCTTCTTGCCCAACTTCAAGATTCTTCATTTTAGTTTCCAGTTCATTTTCATCAGCTTCACCCTGTCCTGATTCTTCTTCATCATCATCTTCTTCGCCTTCAGGATCATTCTCATCCAAGGGACCAAGCATGTCGGGAGACTTTTTGAATGTTTCCTTCAACTCATCAACACCGTCATCAGAGATAATATTCCCGTTGATGTTCAACAGCACAAATCCGGGTTTTTCAACAACTATCCGAGCCAAATGACGAGCCCCGACCCTTCTTATGAAGTTGTTACTCATGTCGACTTCCTTTAAAAGGGTATGCCCTTCTTCCAAAGCCTTACTTATTTGGATAGTACCTTCATCCTTAAGTTCATTCTCCGCTAAGTTCAGCTTGGTTAGATGCTGCTTTGCTGCTATACAAGCAGCTAGAGTTGGAGCAGCATCAGCCGTTTATTTCATTTCCAGCCATTTCAAGAACCGCAAGAGAAGGAGCTGATTCCTTAAGAGCATTGGCTAGCACAACCACACCCTCATCTTCCAAGTTGAGATAACTCAAGTAAACTTCAACCAGATCCAAATGCTTTGAAAGAGCCTTACTCAGGGCAACTCCTGCTTCAACACCAAACATGTTGTCTCGCAAATCGAGCTTCTTTAAATGGGTACAAGACTTAAGTGCCTTTGATAAGGCAATTCCTCCTGCTGAACCGATCCTTGTGGAGGAACATCGAAAATCCTCCAACAAAGAAGAGCACTTCACGACATCAGAAATTGCACGTGCACCCTCATCTCCTGTCATATTATTATGAAAGTGAAGCACCTTCAACTTCTCTGCAGAGGGAATCAGTTCACAGACAGCCCTAGCAGCTTCCTCTGAGATACCATCATTCATCAAATAGAGCTCCTCTAGGCAAGACACTGATTTCAAAAGAGCACCAAAAGCCCTAACACCCTTCTCACCTAAGGCATTGTTTGAAATGTTGAGGGATTTCAAAGCACTACCCTCCAAGGCAGTTGAGAATATATTCATAACTTCCAGGGCTTCTGCCACTGGTCTTCCTGCAATAAAGTCCGACAAATCAGCTTCTTTCAACTGATTCTTGAGGGAAGCCAAAATGGGCCCGGCAACACGAGCTGCTCCTTGACCAAAGCTTCTATTACTAAAGCATATCTTGGTGTAAGAATTTCCGGGTTCCTTCAAAGGCTTTAGAAGATTCTAAGCCTCCTCTGCCTCGAGAAAAGCCCGTTGGCCTTTAGACATGTCAAACAGGGTTTCTGCGGAAGCATTGTTCTGAGATGCCAACTCCTCCTTTCCCGCGGGCCCTCTTTTAAGAGCTTCCAGCAAAAGCTTACTGCATTCCTTGGCGTAAAGCTGCACTGCGGCACCTCCATCACCATCGGGCTCCCTATCATAATGTTCATTCGCTGTGTTAAAAGCTACGTCCTCAATTTTCTTAGCATTCTCCTCAGCTTCCTCTTTGTTAAGAGCACCATACTTCTGGGTAAAGATTGAATTACTGGTGAAATTGTTTGTCAAGCGCTGCACAAGTACCTGACGAGTGCTTTCACTAGGGGGCCATAATTTAATCGAGAATGGCTTGTGTTGTGAATTTGCAGTTGAGTCCATTAGAGAACTAAAGAATCTGGCTGCAGATTCTCAAAAAACCTTAGTCCAAATTTAATAAAAATTCGAGAATACAGTAATACAAATTAATATCAGCCATACAAACATGTCTGGGTTCCTAAATTTCACATGGTTCAACTGATTCCCAAAAAAGAAAAGCTGAAACATTCATCATAAACTTCATCAAAATCTGAAAAATACATACATGCATACATCTCACATGTAAATACACAATGAGGAAAAAAGACATCCATTTGCTATCACAAAAAACAAATTTTACATAATTGTTCTTTACCATAAAATATGTGTCATCGAATTCAAAAGAATAAGAGCCCCCATAAAAAACTGCACAAAATTAGAGCTGGGTATACGGGCTACCCGCCCGTTTAGCCCGCGGGTTTTGACGGAGCGGTTAAAAAAACTCGCAATCATAAACAGTCTTAAATTCTAAGGTCCGCGGACCGTCCATTTAACCCGCGGGTTAAACGGGCTTACCCATTTACTAATGAGGAGATAGAGAGAAACGACGAAAAAGAAAAACAAAAAATAATGAGATTATGATTTCTAAAATTTTATAACGATGTATATATAATATAAGTCACACAAAATAACATATTCTAGGGATTTAGGGCAACTATGGCAAGTTTTAATGTACTAATTGTGTAAGGACTCCACCCACTTTTGAATTAATGCAATATAATCCTCAAATGTAATTTATTATTTTAATTTTGCACTCTAATTTTATGTATTTTTTTATCACTGTCTCAAGTTTTATATATTATTATAATATTTACATATTATGTTACTTTATTTTTTAATTTAATTATTATATTTATACATGGTTTAATACTTTGATTTGTTTTTTTCTGTTTTTTTAACGTATATGTATATATTTTTTCTTATAATTAATTATTGGAGTATAATAAACGTTTTATAGCTTATTTATATATATATATTGATGGTATTAATTATAAATGGTAAATACGTATATAAAAAGATTGAAACATTTTTGCTTATGTTATCATATTCGTTACCATAGGTATAATTAATACGTTCGAACTATAAAATTGGATATCATCAAATTAAAACGTGAATTGAGCTTCAAATTTCAGTGCACATAAAACGTGAATTGGGCTAAACGTGAATTGTCTTCCGTAAAACATAAAATAAATTGAAAAAAATAATTAAATTAAGCGGGATACCCACGAGTATACCCTCGGGTTTATCGGTCCGGGTTAAAAAACTCGTAATTTAAACGGGCTTTATTTTTTGAGACCCAAAACCTACACGGGCAGCGGATTATCCCAGCCGTATAATCGTATTTATATTTCAATTAATTACTTAAAAATGAAAACTGCGGCAACTTTAAAAAGGAAAAAAAAGAAGGGGAAAAACGGGGTCATTTGCTTTTATCCGTACAGCTGATTAGCAGAGCATTGAATCAAAAATAAACAATGCATGCTACAAAGAGAAGGTAAAGAAACGAAAACAAAAACACAAGATCTAAGGCAGTAAAAGAAAAGATTGATCTTTAACGGTAATCATAATAACAAGAGTACAAATTTGAAGTATAAAAGCCAGAATAACAGTTGAGACACAGATCTAGGAAGGAAAATACAGAGATTGGATTGAAAAGAGGAAAAGATAGAAGAGGTTTACCTGCTCTTATTTGGGAAGTTGGGCAGTGGGTGAGCGAGTGTAAATGTAGAAAAATCAAAGCTTTCGGTGTTTTAGGTCTTATTCAGCCTACTCACTAATGTACTAGCAACTCACTACCCCCATCTTTGTTTGTTATTAGGGTACTCACTACTCCCATCTTTATTATTATAAATGGTCCCCCAGTATTCTTTTATTGGCTCGTTAATTACTAAAAATTATAAAATAGTCGATTATTTATAACTCTTAAAATCATCTTTTTTTTTTTGTAAAATAATTGGCGCATGTTAATTGATATACAATAAAATTATACTGAAGATTTAAAATATATAGCTTAAACGATTTTTTATCAAATATTATCATATTCTAACCAATTAGTAATCTTGAAACAATAATGGACTAATTATTATTATAATTATTACAATAATAGTAATAATAGTTCTGAAATTAAGAGAAAAAAAGGTGGGAAGAATCTGCCTGATTTGAAAGCCTTGGGCTTTATTTACTACACAAAGAGGTAGGAATCCAGTGGATTGGCGCCTTTACCTTCAACCCAAAACTGAAAGCTTTTAACATGCTCAACAACAATGGAAACCTCTTTCGATTCTCTGGGCTCTTAATTCAGCTCCAACCGTATTTGCAGCGCCACAAACCCTCAGTCATAGTTATAAGCGGTCCGAGTGGCGTAGGCAAAGACGCAGTGATCAAAAGGCTACGGGAAGAAGCAGATGTCAAAGGAAGAGCTTTTATCAATGGTCGAGAAAGATGAGCTTTTTGGAGTATGCAGCAGCGTATGGTGATTACAAGGGAATACCGAAGAAGCAGATAAGGGAGTGTACAAGAAAAGGAATTATCTAAAACACAACGTTTTGCTATTGTCATTACATAACTAATGGTTAGGCGATTGAAAAAGGAATTCATAAGTGGAATAGTAAAATTAGAAGTTTTGAAAGTTGAATGTAGGATGTCAAACAGGGTGTGGATACTCTTTTCTCATCCCATATCTATATAATATTTTTATATCTACTTCAGATAAAAATTTTAAATCCACACCTAACCAAGTGGATACATTCTCAAATTCATCCCACACCTACTACCTAATTAAATATCCACTATTCATCCCATACTCACCTCTATCAGTCCATACTCACCTAGAAACACACCACAGGAAAACATCTCAGAAAGGAAATCTCAGAGGTAGTTTTCACAATCAGCAAATTAGAGATATTTTGAGACATGGAGAAAACCATCCGGTTCTTCAAAAGCTAGGCATAGAGATTTTAACGAATCTGGCATTGGAAGAGGAAGCCACCGAGAGGATCGGTGGTGCAGGCGGAGTACTCAAGGAGTTTTTCAACATCTTCCTCAAGCAGGGGTTGCCGGAGCACCAGAATCACGTGAGACGCGCCGCAGGAGAAGCACTTGCCATGTTGTCCTTAGAAAGTAGAGCTAATTGCCACCGCATATTGAGACTGCAAGTGCTCGAAAAACTTGTTGCAGCATTGGAGGTCCCGTTACTTCGTGTCAATGCTGCAAGAATTCTAAGACACTTGTGCACCTACAGCGGATCAGATTGCTTCTACGGGCTAAAGGGTGTCATAGAAGCAGCACCAACTGTAAGTTCCGATCTCCGACGCCGGAAAACTATACTAAATGTAAAAAAAATGCAACTGTTAACGGTTGATCAATGCGGTTGGCAGGTGCTCAAGGCAATTATGTCAAAAGAGAACAAGTTGCAGGAAGTAATGGTTGGACTAGCAGCACAAGTCTTCAAACGCATGACTTCAACGGAATCAAGCATCATGTTCGAGAGAGCTGGAATGAAAGAGGACGAACTAGCGAGAGCATTGGTCCGGATTCTCGACAAGTACAAGCATCCGTGGGCGAAGATCCCGAGAATAAGGCAGTTCGCCGTAGAGTTGGCAATTTGGATGATGCATGAGAATGTTAAGAATGTGTACATTTTAAAGGATCTGGGGATGGAGAAATAGCTTGAAAGTGTGCTAGACACCACAGCAGAGCTGGAGAGTTTCAACATTTTCTCCGCCACTGTTGGGCTTAGCCGGCACACCACAACAATTCACTCACTCGTTGAAACCGCATTGAACCTGCTCAAGGGTGGCTAAATTTTACAAAATAAAGCACTCCTATTATTCAAATTCAGGAGTATATATATATATACATGTATTACTTCAAATGTTTGATTCATGTGAATATGAACTCATAACAACTATTGCATATTCTTTTCCTCCAAGCAATAATGAGTGTAATAGGTTAATGCAATGATGTAACAATGCTTGTTTGATTTATCGAATATTAAAGTATTTTTATGAATAAGATTATGGGGATGTAAAATTATATGACACATTCGTAAAAGGGAAATTGACTACCAACTTCATTTGAGCAAATTATATTATCCACCATATAACATACAGAGCAAATCAAAGAATTTTTGGTAATGCGTATTGCCTACAACTCCCTAATTGTGCAGAAAAATCATTACATCTTTTTTCATCAAAAACAATAGACAATGAAAGCCAATGACACTATAACCAAATTTCTTGGCACATGACAAATCAATCTCTTTTTTCTTCTTTTTTTCTTTTACAGAACTACAAATTCTATGCTTCGACTTGGTTACAAGAATAATACAATCATCAGGCTGTTCAAACAAGGTCATCTTTAACTTTCAACGACTGTCCCGAAAGAAGTCCCAGCGACTCATCAAACCATCCATGATGTTATTCGACGGGTTCCGTACAATTGTTACAGTGGCTTTTGTGTTACCTGACATGTCAGCATCGGATGAACTTTGGGTACTTGACGAGGTTTCAGTTTGAGTTGAGGTACTCGTGCTCCCTGATTCCTCGGTCGATGGAGGTGTATCGAATGCATGTCCCGAAGACGAGATGCTAGTGTCGGGGGATGCTTGCTCGAGACCAACATTGGAGCCATTGACTACTAAGGTGGATTGATGATGTTCCACTTGAGAAAAAGTGGACTCTTGGGGAACAGAATTGCATTTTTCTGCTGTGGAACAAGCACCCCTGCTGTTTATTTCATCTCCCCTTAAAGACTCTGAAGAATCGGCACAAGTCTTGGGTTGCTCTTCTGTAGGAGGATGTCGCATATCTAAGTCTTTTAAGGATTCGATTATCGCTTCCATAAACATCTGAACCCACCAAGGAAAATTTCACAAAGGATTATGAGTCATTAAATAGACATGAATTGTTCTGGACAAAGTGAAAGATGAAAGTTTCAAGTCACCCTCTCTTCTTCCTCCACATTACATGGAAAGCCTGTCGAGTCATCGAGTTGATATTCCACATACTGATCATCATCCATGGTTGTTGGCACATGAGGGTCAAATGGATGACCATTGGACAATTCAAAACTTATCACATCGGATGATGACGAGCCATTACCATCAGTGGTATCTTTATTCTGCAGCAAATACTATTTGGTATCAGCGACATGGGACGCCTTTTTATCATCCTCATCATTTAAAAAAAAAATCTAGTGAGACTGCCAATTACAAGTTGTCTTTGTATAGCATCCATTTGTAAAATTTGGCAATAATTTTTTTCCTATGCATTGTACAATGTCAGAAGCAGAGAAAAATACCTGACATTTGGGATTATTTTCTTCAGATGGTTTATCAGAAGGAACCTGAGTATAATAAAAGCTGCAAATATTAGACACAATAAAATAAAATATAAAAAACCACTTGCATTTCCTTTTAAATTTATACGATAACCCAAAAACAACAATGGAAGGATATGCCGTTTACAACGATTTTGAATTCATGATATTGCCTTCTTTTCTTCTCCTTTATATTTTTCCTATGTTTCAAATATAAAGCAGAATAATTAGTGGTTCATCCACTGCATGATTCCAGATTTTCATTAGTTACATTACCCCTTTAAATGCAGTCAATTAAAGATGAATGTTTTAAGAAAATATTTACAAGTCATTCTTGAGAAACGAAAAATAAAACAAAGCCACTGAAACTAACCTCTGTTCGACTCATGGGTCTTTTAGAACGAACTTGTTTAATGGCATCTGTTGTGCTAGTTGCTGGAAACCATTAAGACAGAGTTTAAGAAAATGCCATTAACAGGAGTAGAAAACTTGGCATTTGAGGGAAGAAATACAAGGTACAATTAGTACCTTTAGATGCAGCTGAAGAATCTGGGAAAAAGCCAACTTCAGGGATTGCCCAACTACCCTGAATGTTTATCAGTTATGAATTAACAAAGAATTGTGGGTATGATATCGGGGACTTCCAATAAAACAACTATCACCATAGATATTTTTAGAGCTCAGCTTACCTTGCCAAAGTAATCATGCACCGAATCATAGAAAGTTGTCCCCACCCCATCCTCAGGAGGTTGAAGGACATTGTGAAAAAAGATATTTATGGAATCAAAGTAAAACTGGGGACGAGGAGAGTTGTGGTCTCCCTCAAATTTGATAATATTCTTATCACCCTGCAAAAGTAGTGCATCAATGTAGAAGGTATCACCAAAAATGCAAATTAATGTAGATGATAAAAAACCATGTTTAATCATGCACAAAGAAATTTGAAGGGTAGCACTCTTTGTATGGATTATAAAAAGCTAATAAAAGAATGGATGCAACCATTTTTGGTATCAGATTCTTCTATGAACCGCATTCGTTTTCCTTTCTAGGCCAAAACAGCTACATACTTTTTTCCCCAAAGTGCATGCCATAAAGACAAAACAAGACTAGCAGATAGGATAAACACTGTATTATAAATACTCCTAATACTTCTCTTTCTTATCCTAGAAGACTTCTAAAAAAAATTAGATTACTAAAACTACACGGATGTTTCTGACATTAACATATACAGAAAAGTTAAAAAACAAAAATAAAAACTATTAAAATCTTAGAAAAAATGTTGGATTTGATATTTGAAATATCTATGGGATAATAAATAATACAATATATCATTTTCAAATGTGCCTGATTGTTCACATAGGTTCTATGTAATCCATGTAAGCATACATTATATGATTAGTTGTATAATTGAAATACATTGGTCATTAAGTACTTTAGGACTTTCAAATTTTATATCTCGAATGATATTGAGGTAAATAACTTATCGACGTGTTTATTATTATTATTATTATTAATTCCTTGAAAGGAATATTATTAGCATGTAATATTGAATGATAAACATTTTGTTTGGTAACTTACAATATTTAATACATGAAACTCTTATTTTTAGGGTAATTTAAAACTTAAGTTGCTATAGAGCTCCAGCTTAATTTTTTATTAGTGTAAAATTAGCATAACTAAATGTTCATTTGTTATTCATTTCTAGAAAGTAGAAACCATATATTTTAATCAAAATGAGAATTATATCACATTTTGGATTTTAATTTTTAAAAAGAAAAGGGAGAAAATAAAATCATCACCAAAAAGAACATGCAACTTACCAATAAAAAGAATACACAACTTACCATATAAGCTTCAAATATTCGATCTGAATGATGAGGACGTATAAAATCATCACCAATAGCAAGCCCAAACAGCGCTGGAACAAAGCAAGATTTCGCCACCTAGATTAAAATGAAGATAAATGAATTCACTAATATGTATAACAATAAAAATAAAATAAAGGCATTGACAAGTTAAATCAGCGTATCATTCAATTTCCAGTCATAAGCAAGCAATCAATTGATCTTTCAGGTTCACTTACAAATTGGTTAGACAATAACTAGAACAAAATCATATGGTAACTGGACAAAATTGTTTAGATCAACTTGAACATAAAGAAAAGCGTTAAGCAAACCATTAAGGCTATACATGGAAAATGGATAAGTGTGAGGATTGCGTGGGATAGATGGAAAAGTGTAAACAAAATGTTTTTCACTAGTGCTAGGTATAGAGAGAAAAGTACAACAAATGAAAAAGTTAGATATGGTCATTTCTTATCCTTAATTCATTGAAACTAATCAATTCAAATTGAAAACAACGGAGGACAGAAAATGAGAAGAGAAAGTCCAGTGTAAGAAATTTGCAATGTTATCCAAGTTTTTTTTATATTTATCTTTTTACCTCCAATCACAAAGAGAATAGTCGTAAAAAGATGTAATTTTTATTTTTGGCATAATGTCAAAAATACCCCTAACATTTGACTAAGTAGTTAATTTGGTCATTTTTCTTTTTTTTTGGAACCATTTTGGCCAATAACGTTTCATTTTAGGGAAAAAAGGCCCCTAACGTTTGACTAAATATTTACTTTAGCCCTTATTCTTTTTTTTATCATTTTGGCCCCCAACGTTTCATTTTGGGGCAAAAAAGCCCCTATTTTGGAGTGATTACTGTTTGTTGACTACTGATTTCCATCGATGGAGGGCCTTTTTGCCTCAAAATGCTCCAAAAAAATAGAACAAGGGCCAAAGGGACTATTTAGTCAACCATTAGGGACGATTTTTGTCATTATGCCTTTTATTTTCTTCCCTTCCCTTCTCAGCTCTACTAAGAAATGAAGGGAAATAATCATTTTCTTAATCCACTTGTATGATTTTCCTAAAGCACACCAGTGGAAAAAAACCTAATTTCTACCCCCCACCCCCAACTTTTCTCCTCTTCCAATTTTTTATCTTTCCATTTCTCCTAGACAAAAGATATTAATGCAACAATACCAGGAAAAACACTGCATCGTCATGTGAAACAAGAAACATGAGCTTATAGATCAATATGGAAAAGTAAATTATCTCCAGACTAGAACCTTGATGGTGTTCAGGTCTGCTATGTCAAACTTCGCCTTTTTCTGGATAGATTTCCGCATGAACTGGATTGCAAACTTAACCTGGAGCAAGGCAAATGAAAGTATAGAGTTAAAAGACAACAGAAGCAATCATCTCAACTCAAGGTTCTTATACAAAAAAAAAACTGAAAACACTGATAAGCAGTTAAACGGGATAAATTGGGCTTCGAAGAAACAATAGAACCTCAAAATGAAGTTTGATAACTCAACTTCAACCGCAACATAACATACCAAAGTAATCAACTTAAACATATTTTACTTGCAGCATATGCTGCAGTTCAATTTTATATCATTGCTCTTAAAAATTTCCTTTAGTTCATAGTGGTGCTTGATTACTAATTAGAAAGAATATGGACTGACTGACAAGACAGCAATAAAATTTATACGAAGGCATCTATAAAATAAACTTGCAAAACAGAACTTGCCCATCTTTGGATTGATTAAGCAATCAGAGAAAGAAGAAAATTGTTTGATGTGTGTTAGAATGAGTGCATGAACACCTACAATCCAAAGACTACAACTTTTCTTATTTATATTGAATATAAGACCACAATTCCATACAATAGTTGAGAACACCAGATTTAGTATAAAATCTTTACCATCCATAATAGATTCTCTCAGTGGCTAATTAGTTACCCACATACTCAAAAAGAGCGAAAACCAACAAAATATAATAATAATAAATGTAAAGTGTGTACTTACTGTGAACTTGGGCAAACGGAATTTATACGTATCTACAAGTTCCAACATCAGATCGACCAAGTCCGAAAAAGGACTGTCAAGAACCATTCCTGCAATTGAAGGATCCTCAGCTCCATACATTAGGCTGTGAACAATGATTTACATCCTTAATGTTAGAAACACATCGAATATAATAAGGTTAAATAAAAACATGAATTTATATAAGCATATGCGGCAATACAGCAAACTTAAACCATAGATTTTAGTAAATAATTGAGAAGTCCAGGCAGCAGAGCTTTAGATAATACTCCACAAATTCATAATGAGATGGCAGTTATGAGATGTGCTTCCATGCTCAAACTTTGGAACAGAAAGATGGCAAGGGCTTTAGAAAACCTGGTAACAGCACCCATTGAGCGCCCCCATAAGCCAATGAAAGAGACATTTCCATCTTCCCGCAAATAATCAACTACAGCTTTCAGATCATCCTTCTGGAAAATGGGAAAAGAATGTTAGACAGATTTTATGACATGCAAGCTCGTCATCAGATAAAGTATCCAACTATCATCCCTATGAAGTTTAATCTTACCAAATGTATACTTGAGACAAACTTTCTACTGCCTTAAATGTCCTTGTAAAGATGACTTTTACATATTTTTCACTTGGCAATACAAATATAATTCATGTTTCTTATCTATATAATTCACAGATATCTGTTTTCAAAGTTTATGAAAATTATTTCAAATTTACTTTTAGAAATATATAGGGGGTGACGGGATGTTATTGATCAGAACTTCAAAATGTCAGTTAATAAGAAGAATTCAGTTTATGCCAAGGACTGAAGTGAGAGAAGGGCTATTTTAGGCTCTTTAATTAAGTTAACCCAGAAGATTGCAAATTCATCTGTCATAATTTATTCAACCAGTGAAAATACTATGCATGTCTAAAAACCCCAAGCATTCGCACCAAAATAAGAGTTTTCCAAAAAAAAAAACTGATAGTCTATAGAACACATGTATGAAGTAAGAATACCCCAAATAACCCAGGACAAAACAAGAATTAACATAAGCAATTTGCAGAGAGCCACATTATTAGAAGTTCACAACCAGTAAAGACTATGAAAAAAACTACTAAAGAATGCTAATCCAATATGAGAGAAGGCATTTCCTGCATCCATAAGAAAAATGAGCAAGAAATTCTAGACTTTGCACAAGTAGGCTAGTTAACAACTCACTTCATTCCAACCCAAGGTGACATGCTCTCCTCCAGATAACCCAGATCCTGAAAAATCAAGAGTAAAAACAGTAATATTTGAAGGTAGCAAGATTATAGCAGCTTCACTGGCATCAGCCCTGCAGCCACTGCACAAAATCAAGATACGGTAGCGGTCAGCAAAGTAAACAATAGTAATAATAAACTAAAAAAAAAAGTAAAAATGTACAGCAACGTAATCAGTCAGCAGCCAGGATGGAAGATGTAACAAAAGGAAACAAGCATATATTATATCTGAAAGTACGAAGCAGTTGGATACTACAGAAACTAGCCACCTAACACTCTCCCCATCAGCAATACAAAATACTAAAGAAACTGATATCTGAAACTAAGACAAATGAATTGGTTTAAGGGGGAAAACAGCAACAATGAAGGAAATAAGGCTAAACAAACAATTAGGAAAGATGGAACTTAGAAAACTTAGGGTTTTAAAAAATATCTAATTTTTCTATTAATTCAAAGAAAACAATAATAAGAATAATTGTGTTGGCTGTAAGCCTACAACTTATTTATATAGGCCCGCTTTCTTGCAAGCAAAGTTGAATCCTAGTGCAAGTTGACAACATATAAGCACGAGAAACAAAAATAATAAGTAACTACGCGCTTTTATCCAGATAAATTTGTATCCTGAAAAAACAATTCTATTATAAGGTTGGTGCTGATTGATATAAGCAACCTGGATTACAAGACCCTTTTTTTATTTGAGCACAAAATCTTAAGTTTCCTTTTTTTCTCCCACAAGTAATTATTGAATAATGCTTGCAATTTCCAAAGGAAACAATAAAAATTCTCTAACCTGTTGCCATGACAGTATATCACACAGGGAAGAGGTTTTCCTTCAGGACTAACAAGGGGTACATAATGACTACACTGTAGAACATCTCCTCTTCCATTTTTAACCTGCAAAATGACCAAAACACATGTTTATGATCTCTTATCCAAATTATAAGAGACTATAACAAATATATAAAATATATTCTATTCAGGTATGCAAAAGAATGGATGACAATTCAAAATTTGTAGATGTCTGTCTTAAATGATGTCTCATAAAGCACATGCCAGCAGCACAATGGCCTCTCTGTAATGTATCCTGTCAAAGGAAAAGACAAAAGCAAAGAGGTACAATAGCTAGGTGCACCTTACTAACTGATTTTAGTTTACCAGTAATACGAATGAGTTGATGAAAACGCAGCATAGTCGTATCTATTATGCTACTATTTTTAGTAAAGAAATCTATAATTGAAGGATAGGGGAAATGAACAGATTAACATCATGAAAAGGTTTGGAAAAAAAAGGAAGTTGAGAATTTTAGGACGATAAATAAATTTAAAATTTCCCTTGCATAGATAACTTTAAACTGTACCTCTATATCCTTCCTTTGGTACCATTTCCCTTTCAACATGAACTCTTCATCTAAAAGATCACTTTCTGGATTGTACTCGGCTCTGCCATAAAAAAACGATGCCCATTAGAAATTGAGTAAAATAATTTGCAGTCTTAAATTAATGATGTCCCAAACATATTCATGAAAAAGGTGTTTGACCATTTCCAATTTGTTCCTCTTTCTTGCTTAACATGAAGGATCTCGAGGTCCTTTCCATAGGTCTGCTGGTTATAAACCATCTTACTTCAGTGTAGAACAGCATTACAACAGCATACTTCAAGTCGCATGACTTATGGCTCCTGATTATTGGCTATATAACTCTACATTAATGAAGATATAATCTTACCATAATAGGCCTAATTCCACAGTTAAGTTGATCAAACTATAAATTTCAGTTTTTTGTTCCCAAAACTCCTCATAAAACTAAACAAATCAATGACTGCCGAAGCTTTTAGAACTATATGGAATACAATAAAGTACAAGGACTTAATCATGCCAGAATCTATGAAGAAGTTTGAGATTCAAATACCCACAACTCCCATAACAACAATATATATATATATACACACACATACATGTATTTATGCACAAGAACACAAAATTATATAAAACTAAGAAAATTAACCAAATCAATAACAGAACACGAGAGCTAAAGAAACCCATGACAATGAATCAGACGTGCTCTAAAATTATGGAAAGACCATAGATAACCAAGAAGTAGCGTAAACCATCAAATTACAACAGTGATCAGCCATATAAGGCTATAATAACAATTATAATCACCCCGGTATCCTTGCTTAGAAACTGATCAACATTAATGGCAAAAACAGAAACTTCAAATCTAATGCTATAAAAAAAGGTGCACGTGTAAAGCAAAGGGTTTTCTCTACCCGTTGGCTGAAAACCAAAAATAAAAATTTTCAAATCCCAATTCTCCTCCCTCTTCTCAATTTCCCCCATCTCTCAAACAGACCAGATCATGAACCGAACCCATGTTTTCAATTCAATAAAAAAGGGAAACAATATCAATTTTTCCCAGAAAAAGCAAAATTAAAACTGGGGAGGTTACTACCTGGGAGGCCGTATTATAAAGTTTACAAGCTGCTCCATAGATCTCCAAAAATAATAAGTAAAGTGATCTGGGTTGAGGTTAAAGGCCACCAACAAAAACCTAAAGCTTATGAGAAGAAATTCTTTTATGAGAGAGATATAATATATTGCGACAAAGAAAATACAACAGAGCTTTCAAAGGGAAAAGGGCCTTGCGATGAGTAAAGAAAAAGGCTTAGAAAAAGAAGAACAAAAACTTTGTCAAATGTTGTCGTTGCTGTTGATGTTTACCGAGTTTTTTTCAATCCTTCCATCCGGGAAAAAAAACATAAAACAAACGGTGAAATATATAAATGGTCCCTGATGTTAATTTGTTTAGTCCATCAATTATTAAAAATTATAAAATAGTCCTTTTATTATAAGATAATATTTTGTTAAATACTCTAATTATTAAAAATTATAAAATAGTCATTTTAATATTCATATGTTCCAAACTAGTTATTTTTTATTAAAAAAATTAACGATCGTTTAAGCTGGATGTTAACATACTGAGTGGAATGTTATAAAGATCGATCTAAAAATTATTTGTGTTATATTTTGTGGATCGACTCTTCCTTCACATCATGCCATTTAACCCGTACGTATAAAGTTGTATATGTTTAAAGACTCACAAACATTTAACATTAAACGATCATACCCTACATATATGATACTCGAACCACTGAAGTAGTTAGTCAAAATCTTTTAAATAAACTTGAATCATGTCAAAATATATATATATAATTAATTTTTTTTAAAATTATATTTAAATTCAATATATGAATTTCTCATTTTTATTTTCGTTAAATTTAAATGTATATTATTAATTAAATTTTTATTAAAAGCTTTATATAAATAAACATTATCTATTTTCATTTAAAACAAAAATATTTTTATAAATTCACAATTGAGTTGAGATTTAATAAACAAATATTGTTAACTCAATCAAAAATTTAATATATAATATAAGATAAAAAAATATAGGGCAAAATATATAAATGGTCCCTTGTCTATAGGGTATTTTTTGTTGCTATTAAAAGTTACAAAATGGTCCTTTAACTATAGGATGTTGCTTTGTTGAGTCCATAGACTATTAAAATTTACAAAATAGTCACTCAACTATTCATATGTTCGAAACTCATCATTTTTCGTTAAAAATTGAATGTTGTTTGAGCTGGATATTGTTGATAAATATCTTAAAATCTTTAACGACTGTTATATCACAATCAACATGTTAACATCCAACTCAAACGACCTTTAATTTTTTAGTTTGATATTTTTAATAGGTATTTTTTCACAACACTAAAAGAGCTAATGTTGGACTTTTAGATTATATCACATAATCACCCAAAAAAAGTTATAAAATATACAAAATATTATAAAATTGAAAAATCTAAAAAATTATAAAACTTATAGGAATTAAAATCGTTAAAAAGAAGTTACCAATGATAGAAAAGTAAAAAAAAAAATACAAAAAATGAGAAAATGAACAAATTCAAAGACTAAAATATAATTTATTTATTTTTCAATATCATATCTAAATTAAACATAATCTTTTAAATTTTAAACTAAAGATGAATTACATATTTAAATCGATGACCTTCAAATTATTAAAAGAATAACGTATAACAAAATTAAGATTCAATCATAGTGAATCGAAATAATGAAAAGGAAAATGAGAAAAAGAAGAAGAAGATGATGATATCAACATCCGACCTTATAGAATGTGTTCCACTAAACACACACACAATTCGAATGATGTCACACCACCACCCAACATATTTATTTCATGATTTTGTCCCTTAGAAGATGATTAATGATAGCCTCGCCCTTAACAAATTCACACCATCTCTTTAATTCTACTTTTATGGTATGTGCACAAATTAATTTATTTTAGTGATTAAAGAAATTATTATTATTTTTAGAGGTTTCGGGTTCGAACATCAAGAGTGTTTTGTCAAATAGTTGATAGTACTTAAAACATATATTACTTTGTAATCACCTTAAATTAATAAAAAAAAAGTTACTTTTTATTGTAGCTGCATGAACCAACTTACATTAGTAGTTAAACGAATCATTATTGTTTTTAGAGGTTTCGGATTCGAGCATCAATGACTGCAGCTATCACCTTAGTTTAGTAAAAAAAATACTTTTATTGTAGTTGCATGCCATGTGATTCCAATGAATTAAAGAGGTATTCAAGGCGGGAACTAAGAATTTATTATAGCGGGATTAAAATAATCTTTTATTTTATATAAATATAATTTTTTAATCGAATGACTTGATAAATTTTTCTTTATTTATTTTTTAAAAATATATTTTTTATTACAATTAATAATTAAAAATATAATTGACTAGTGCCCAAGGTCCCCTTACCCTCCCCTTGGTTCCGCTCATGGGGGGGAATGCTTACGTGAGGCGCTTAATATACGGCTAAAAAAAACGATACTGGTTTTGTTATTGACTAAAAAAAAGGTACCGATTTTGTTATTATTGTGCATAACAAAACCGTTAAAAATTACCGAAAACATCATTATTTCTACCGGTTTTGTTATTATTTGGCATTTTACCGGGTAAAAATATACCGGTTTTGTTATTGTTGGGCATAACAAAACCGGTAAAAATTACCGAAAATATCATTATTTTAACAAAACAGGTAAAGCGCTATTGGTTTTGTTATTTTTTTACCGGTTTTGTTATTGTTTGGCATTTTACAGGAAATGTTAAAAAAATTGATGTTTTAGGTAGAAATAATAATTTTTTAGGTAATTTTTTACCGGTTTTATTAACCCAACAATAACAAAACCGGTAAAAATAAACTTTTTTAATGATAAAATTAGCAAATACAAATTATACAATTTTTAAAAAAAACTTCTTTATTATAAACATCAAATATAATAAAATAATATTATTTATTAACAAAATAATATTATTATTTTTAAAATATTAGAATAATTTATTTAATATTATTTATGTCAATATTACTATTAAAATATTATATCTATAATTTTATAAATAAAAAATTATGATTATTATATTTTATTAAAAATAAGATTATTATAAATTATATTTATTATTTATTATAATAAGAATAATATATCATTAATTATATTATAATGAGAGAATAGTTAAACATATGTGTCGATACATTTTCAAAAAGTATCGACACATATGTTACATCGAAACCGATAATTATAATGTAATATGTAAATTTACAATGTAACAGGTATAAATATATTGATTTTATGAGAGAATATGTCAACATAATGTATCGACACAAATTTAAAAATTGTCGATACATTTTGTCCAGAATGAATGCCAAATGAGGTGCACACATAAAGTGTCGATACATTTATTAAAAGTATCGATCCCAAAAACATCGAAACCAATAATTACAATGTAATAGGTAAATTTACAATGTACTCGGTATAAATATACCGGTTTGTTGAGTTAATCAATTGACGGATTTGGCCAAGAGGGGGGTGAATTGGCAATTAAAAATTTGGTGGAAGCTTTTGCAGAAAATTGAAAGTAATTGCACAACGATTTAGAGTGGTTCGACTTTCTCAATCAAAGTCTACGTCCACTACCTTAGCTATCCACACTAAGGATTTCCCAACAAATTCACTAATTTGTTCTTTCTTTTGAGGCCAAAGAGATAACCTTACAATACCCTCAAGAATATACCCCAATTCTTGAGAACACTCTTTCTCAAAGAGAAGATTACAAATTTGCAAACTTACAAGGAAAACCTCACAAGGTAAGATGTTTGCACAATTCTAGAACAAGAAAAGAACACTTAAAGATAATTACAAATGAGCACAAATGGTGTTCTTGAAAGCAAAATGAATATTGAAAGGAAAATTGGCTTGATTTGCACAAACTTGGTGTTTGATGCTTTCTATCTTGTTTCTCTATGATTTCTTGTTGATCAAGGGCTTCAGAACTTGTTTAAATATACCTTGAATCACTTCTGAACGTTGGGGATAATTAATGAAGATAATATAGCCGTTTAAGTGTAAAAACATTTAATAAAAATGCTTGGAGCGTGGGGGGAATCGGTTCCCCCTCATAGGGGATCGGTTCCCTAAGTGTAAAATTCAAATATTTCGACCGTTGAACAGGGGGGAATCGGTACCCCCTATGAGGGAATCGGTTCCCTCCGAGCATTCTGGAAATCTCGGAGCCAAACCATTCAGGGGGGATCGGTACCCCCTTGGGGGGAATCGGTTCCCTCTGAGCAATCTGGAATTTTTGGCTTTGAAATGGTTCGAAATACTTTGAAAGATTATTTTGAAATTGTTTTAAGATTAAAACTTAATTTTACACTTAAGTAAGGATTAAAAATGATTTTTGAAATATTTGGAGTAATGTTTTGATATTCGAATAATTATATCGAATATACTTAGAAAATCATTTTGGAAAATCTTAAAATTCATTTAACTTAATTTGTTATATCGAAATATCAAAATGTTTTCAACAATCTCCCCCTTTTTGATATAACAAAACATTTTAGTAATTTTAAGATTTTGAAATCAAGTTTTGAAATTACTCCCCCTTACTTTAACACTTCTCCCATTTATCATTTTTAAAACACACTTAAAACACACACTTCTCCCCCTTTTTGTTAAATCAAAAAGATTTAAAGAAACGTGAAAAAACATTTAGCCAATTGATTAGGTATATGTATGAATAAGCTGCTAAGATCACAATCTAGAGAAACGTTAGCCATTAGTTCCATAATCAATATTCATAAACAATGTGATATGGTAAAATTGGTCATATTGCTAATAATGATAAATGATGCAATAATGAATAAATCACACCAAACATATAAGTTCACACCATCCATAAATCCAAACAAATTCACAATCCACAAATTCAAACATTCCAAAATATTCAAAATGTTAAAACAATAAATTTGGAGTTCAAAGTAAAACATTTAATCACATATCCGGATCAGGATGAGGAAAACGAGCTCGCATAGCGGCCATTTCGTTAGTGAGGTCATTAATACGTGCGTTGGTTGCTTCATTATTTGCACGCATTTCTCGAAGAATTTCTAATTGTTGAGTTCCCATTGTGGATAAATGAGACTCTATAGAATTAAAGCGCGAATCCATGCTCGCATATCGGTAATCAAATGTCTCAATAAAAGATTGAAAATATGGAGGCATTTGAGTCGATTGTTGTGCTTGCTCTTCGGGATGCTCCTCGGGCTGCTCAGGTTCATCTTCAGCTTCATCGATGTCTCGCAT